TGGTGCATCAAAATTGGTGCAGTATATGATTTATTTTATTCTTAGACTGTCATCTCAGTGAGACATGAACTCTACAATTCGTTTCTGAGCTGAAAAAAAAAATAAAACGAAATATTACAAAACCTCATATTAATTATACTAAATTGATTTTGAAAGTTATGGCTATACAATATTGAATAAGAACTATTTTCATTTGACAGATGCTATCCATTGCAGTTAATAGGCCATTTTCCTTAGCCCAGTTTCCTAGATATTTCGAAAACAACTGCTCTACAGAAAACTTATCAATCAGTCCTTAATTTGACAGATCTTCATATCAAAATAATTTTTGAAGAATCAGTTTTGATTATGTAAGAGGAAAGGCGAAAAAAAATATGGAGATACAAACAGTGTTTAGCTCAACCATCCACAGAAACGATACATATTCACAGCAAGACAAATACGGATCTGTAAATACACCAGCGCTGATACTAGGTGCCATGAAGGAGTAAACATCATCTGTCGACCGGTCACAATCGACCTGTGCTCATTGTCATGATTGGAAGAACGGAAAGATCTCTAGACAATTCAGTGTGTGAATAATAGCTTAACAATTACAATGAAAAACATCAGTCAGCATTCGACTAAATGATAGATGGTATTTGCTGACAAGGTCATAGTATCGACCATAGAACATGCCAAATGATGACTTTGAACAAGACTGTTGATATCTTTGTTTCATCGATGTTTTGTCAATGTAACGGAACATACCGGATTCGAAATCAGTGTTCATATTTACGAAAGTTCGTAGACGTAAACGTAAACGTAGAAGTTACGACTGACTTAAGATTAAAGATACGAACACGTAACTTGGTATTTACAAAGCCACTCGTAGACGTAGACGTAAGTTACGAATTCTTAAATGTACGATTGTGCGTAAACATGCGCTTTCGTTAGTTTCACTTTTCAGTGCGTCTGCGATCATGGAGGTGCCCCAGATGGACATAAAGAAGCAACGCAAAGCTAATTTTAGCGATTTGGAGGTGGAAGTGTTAGTGGACGCGGTGTCCACTAACTACAGGGTTCTCTATGGGAAATTTTCTCCCTGTCTGACCAACAGCATGAAGACGGAGGCCTGGGAGGCTGTCACAGATAAGTAAACAATTAGGAATGAAATCTTTTTCTTGATATGAAATCGCTTCCTTAAGAAATTGTTAAGAGTAAAAGTATAATCACAACTATTTGTTATTTGTATGAATAGACTGAAATTAATAATTATTTTTATGTGAAAAATAAACTGTAAGAGATAATTGTTAGAGCTTTTACAAGGGCTGTTTAACTTTTTCACTATGTATTTATAACCATGCCGTTACGTAAAAACCTTAATATTATTTTCTTTGACATTCAAATATTTTTTTTCCTCGTTTACAATTACCATTCAAATACACATGCATTTACATGTAGAGTAAATGGTGTTAGTGTGCAGTGCAGAAGGGAAATGACAGACATAAAAAAAAATGGCAAGACCTTCAGTCATTTGTTAAAAAAAAAGAAAGCCAGCGAAGGAAGAGTGTACGACAGACAGGGGGAGGGCCCATGCAGATATCCTCATTAAAGCCATGGGAGGAAAAAGTTTGTTTATAATTATATTTTTAGGTTTTATATTGTTGAAGGGCATGTCAATTATTATAGAATTATTTAAAACTGTTGCCATTGAACATTCTATGATTTATATTACATCTGTTTGAAGGTAGGTATTAGCTTATAGGTTGAGTGAAGGACACATGCTGATGCAGACTTGAGTAGATATTTTGTTATCATGTGTAGGTATTTTATTAATTAATTTATGAAATGTTGTGACAAAATATTAAGTTTTTAGATGGCATACTTTAAAATATAAAATTTATGAAAAGGTATATGCATGAAAATTTTCCTGGTTTACCTTTGTGTGTGTAAAGTGGTGTCCTTATGTGTGACTAACTGTCTAATAATTCATGAGATAATTCATGATTGAGGGTAACTGGTTAAGTATGAACTAACATCAGTGCACCTAATGTGGAAATGTCATGTCTTCCATGTAATATATACCCTATGTGTCTGTAACTGTCTAGGGAGATAATGGGTTCGATTCCCATCACTACTGCACAGCATGTTCTCAAGTAGTGTTTTAGAATTAGGTCTCCAAGCATGAACTAATATATGTTTGCACGATGTTAATGTTCATATCTTGAATTCTTCTGTGTCATTTTTTTTTTGAGTTTCTGTCTTTTTTAAATTTAAAACAGAATAAATTTAAATTCTGAATTAGTGCACTGTTATAGTTCGGTGAAAATTTAATAAATGTCTTAAAATCAAATGAGCCTAATGTACCCCCTATTATTTTATTATTTTTTTCTTTATGTGTAAATGCTATAAAAATAATCAAATTGCACCAGGTCCTGTTAATGTAAATTGACCCAAGAATTTAAAAAATGCTTTTATCTTGTCAACAACTTTAGAACTTGCAGACAATTCCTCAGACCTCAATATGTGGAATTGAAGATGGGGTTGATACCAGTACTACATGCACATCATCGAACATGTCCCAAGGGACATCTACTCAGGTACATGTATCACAGGGAGGTCAAGACAGATGTGTTGAGGCAGTCCCTTCAGTGATTATCACAGAGGGTAAGATTATGACAATATATTTCTGTCAATATATATATATATATATATATATAGAGAGAGAGAGAGAGAGAGAGATCTTGAGAGTACTGAATGCGTTTCAACAGAAACACACAGACACATATGTGTATTTTTTCCCATAATTGAAAAAGTATATTTACATAAAGAAATACATTTGTTGCAGTTCCAGCTAAAGAACTTATGAACTCATTTAATGATGGACCAGTTTTCTCTTTAGGCTAGTACTTGCATATTACAATGTGATTTGAGATTAAACCAAGCAGGATAAAAAAAAATCTTAATAAGTTTTCATGTAGGCACATGTATATATGTATTAACCTTGTTATAAATTATTTGTAAAGACTCTCAAGTATCAACAGGAACTGACTCATCTTTATTAAGTCAAGGTAAGTGTAAATCAATATGGTCAGATACAAATGTATTTTTTTGGAGAATATAAGGAAAGAAATGTTAGTCATATATTGATATTAAGAATCCCAATAATGTGGGTTCCAGTTTTGTAAAGTAAATCCATATCCCCCTGAGGGCTAGGATTGGGATTGATCAAAATTTTTCTTGTTAATTTCATAGTGAAAACAAAGATTGACCAAGAGCAAGGTCAGGTTGACTCAGTACTGTTTAGGATTGTGGCTCTTGTTTTTCTTCTTTTTTTAAATTCCACCATGTATTAGAATGAAAGTTATAAATCATTTAAACATATTTTTTTTTCAAAAGAAATGATAATTGATATGCTATTTTATACCAGTAATTGTCTGCAAGCATTCCTTTGACTTTACAGAGGAATCCTGTTTGCTAACAGCACCATCACCTAGACATTCTAGAGGTAAGAGAGTTAAAGAAATAATTGGCTCAAAGATTGTCTATGATGTATTGATCAATATGCCTTTTCTCTAGTTTTCAGTTATAACAATGAGCATTTAAAAAAAAAAAAAATTAATGCTTTTTTTAAATCAGGGACAGCATCATCTAGAAATTCTGGCAATGTTCTAAGTGGTAATGTATGCAAAACTGAAGAAATACAAAGGGTTAAAATGCCCAAGTAGTAGCTACATTGTAGGAGACATGTAAACATGTATGTACTTGAACTAAATGTAACATCCCCCCCCCCCCAAGTAATTTGCAAGAATTTGCCATGATAACTTTAGAGGGGGAAAAAGTGTTTCAGTGTTTATTAAAAAAAATAATGAAAGAGAAGAAAAAAAATCATCACATGCGAACAATTAATCTGTAAGTTTTATGGTTCTTTTTGTTAAATTCTTTTAAACCAAGTTTAATTGTGAATTTATTTTATACTGTTTTAAAAATAAAACCGAAACATGAAATAAATTTTCCTTTTAAAAAGGTAAACGAAGAGATCAGTTATGTGAATATTCGACAGAAACTCAGAGACTTGTTGAAATTGAGGAAGAAAAACTAGCCATAAAGAAGAAAAGACTGGAGATAGAACAAGAAAAACTTCAGATTTTACGAAATGTGTATTCTTTATTGCAGGAAAAATCAACTTCCAGTGTTCCCTCCTTTAGCCGTCTTCTATCCGAGTTTTAATAATACCCCCCCACACACACACACACACATACAAATGAAGTTTTGGGGTACATAGGAATCACCTTGTCCGTCTGTCCATGCAATCTTGTCCAGGCTATAGCTTTGTAATGGAGAATCATTGGAGATTCATACTTGGTACAAAGATTGTTTATGATATGACAGTTTGTGGTGATTTTGACCCAGGTCATTCCGGCAAGTTCAAGGTCACTGGCAGAAAAAGGGTAAAACTCTTTTATTAGGGTTAAACTTTGTAATGGAGATCCATTGGAAACTCATGCATGATACGAGGATTGTTTATAATCTGAGGGTGTGCCATGAACTTTACCCAAGGTCATTCCTGCAAGTTCAAGGTCACTGGCAGAAAAAGTGTAAGTTTCTTGTCTGGGCTATACATGTAACTTTGTTGCTTGTTACAAAGTCCAAAAGCCGAAAGGTCAAGGACTCAAGGTCGACCTTTTTTGATATTTCTCCATCTGAATGTTTCTCCCCAGTTTTCTCACCCTCTTTCCTATCTTAAGTGGGGGACACAAATTCTGGTATGTTTTCTGTATTTAGTTTTTGTGCTGAGTTTTTTATATATTGATTTGTTTAAATTCATTTTTCTCGGAGAATTTGATCTATTGAATGGAATTGATAAATTAAAAAGAAAACAAACTAAGGTAATAATTATATATTCACTGTTTTTTACTGTAACAAATGATTATTTTTCCTGTGACAGTATATTGTAATACCTGATGACAAATTTGAATGGAATTTAAATTATGACTAAACATTAATTACAATGACAGCTAATCACTGGTTTTATTTGTGAACTTAGGGAACAAAAACATCTCTGACTAAAAACATTTTTAACAAATTTGCATGTTTAACAAAAATTGGTGGCATATATATTAACTGAAATTAAAATTTGTATACTGGATACATTTATATTAATTGAAAAAAAGACACAGGAAAGGAAAATTAACTGGACTTTCATGTTGTAACATGATTACAAAATACAGTGTTTACTTTTCAAAAGCATAGAACAGAATTTGAAAATTTCATGCAGTCTTAAAACCTTTGGAAATCTCATAGTTTGTAGAAAATTTAATATAAACTCGTAGATTCTCATGCACAGAAAGACCAAAAATTACCTCTTTCATTCAAATTAGAAATTGCCACCCTTCACATCATTAATACACATATCTTGTTTTTAAAAATATACATACACTGTATTACATGTATTTAAAAGAAAAATTCTTTCAAAGTAGTTATTTTTTTTTTAAATCAAATAGTATAATGAACTTATTATTTACAGCAATTTATTTTGATTTTGGTAATGGAAAGGTTATAATTTGTATGTTTTCTCAATAAACGTACTTCCACATGTGCATATAGGCACAACTGAAGTTTTGTTGAATAATTTTCTGATGCACACCAGAGTAAGTATTACACATTACATTTATATCCAACTTAGAATGTACATGTATTACTGTAAAATTTTATAATGATAACTTTTATCAGACTGCTATATTTCATGTATTAGGTTAGTTTAACTTCATTCTTTAAAGTAAAGCACATTGTAATTCTTTTAACAGGATAACCAAAATATTTATAAATGATGTCTACATTTACAAAAGTTATTTCCCCTTTGCAGGGTTAAGCTGGACATACATTAAGGTATGATACTTTTTATTCCTCCATAACCATTACCAATTTTGATATATACTGACAAAGGGAGATGAAACTTAAGAATGCAGAGTAAAATTATTATTCTACATATATACCCCTCAATCAACCAGTAAAATACTTTGTGAATTTATCATAAATCCTGATTTTTAGCTCAGCTCAAGTAAGCTTTTCTGATCAAATATTGTCCGTTGTCTGTCATCGTGGTTGTTGTCATAATTTTTTTTTTTTTTACATTTTCATCTTCTCAACACACATTTTTCCAAGCAAGATTCAGTTAGAGAACAACCTCTTCTTACAGATTTCCACAAAAATTCTCAGATTAATCCTCATTAATCACCTGCGCCAGACTCTTTTATACACACAAAATAAATTCTACCTCCTACCACGGGTATAAAACAGAGTACATTTCAAAAGTACATTTTTCATAAGCATTTTGAACATGATGAATTTCAATCAAGGGTAGGTAAGCAGTGTATTTTTAAAATATTCAGACATATAAGACTTAAAAAACCTTTAACGACCCGTGAATTTTGCAATAGCTATCTAGCATTTTACATGCAGTTTGAAATAAAGTGTAAATTTCATGTCACTCTCCCCGTCATAATACCTCAAGTTTGCAGTGACCTGACGTCATTTTCCATTATGACGTCATATTTGGTAGTTCAGAGATGTGAAGGTACAGAGTGCACTGTCATATTCTACGGGAAGCCTTAACCTACCTGTGTTCTGTATGTTTTCATGTTTTCCTTTTATATTACATTTCTTTTATTGTGTTTTGCGTCTATGATTATTGTCATATCTGTATTTTGTATACAGTGGTTCTGTAATACTCAAAACTGAATTAAATCATTTATTTTTTTTTTACTTGCCGGAATCTAGACTTTAAGACACCGAAGGCCCTCTCAACGCAATTCCTTGTTTTGATGTGGCTCTCATTATACTTCTCCTGCTGTTGGGTCTGTGGAGAGAGTATTGGTGTCATTAGCCATGGGCGGAGAGGGTAACCACTGTCGCCCAAAAGCCAGCCCCCACCTGGTAGCTGCTCCATCGTTTCTGGAATGTTGCTGTTTGCAAGTATGTATGCGTCATGGGTTGCTCCTCCATACTTGCAAACTATATTTATAAATCTGAAATACATGATTAAATATTTGTTAAGATCATGCAATGTGGAAATCAGTGGTAGACACACAAATTCTCTTTCATTTTCGTTGATATATCCAGCAGTATTGCAATACCAATTTTTTTTTAGCTCACCAGAGCCAAAGGCTCAAGTGAGAATTCTGATCACAATTTGTCCGTTGTCTGCCGTCAACGGTGTTGATTTCAGCGTCATTAACTTTTTAGCTCACCTGAGCTGAAAGCTCAAGTGAGCTTTTCTGATCACCGTTTGTCCATTGTCCGTCCATCTGTCTGCCCGTCTGTCTGTAAACTTTTCACATTTTCAACTTCTTCTCAAGAACCACTGGGCCAATTTTAACCAGACTTGGTACAAAGCATCCTTATGTGAGGAGAGTTTAAATGGTTAAATTGAAGGGCCAAGCCCCCTTACAAAGGGAGATATCAAGAAAAGACAAAAAAAAGGGTGGGGTCATTAAAAAATCTTCTTCTCAAGAACTCACTGGGCCAGAAAAGCTGAAACTTATGTGAAAGCATCCTTGGGTAGTGTAGATTCTAAATTTTTCAAATCATGACCCTGGAGGTAGGGCAGGGCCACAATAGGGAATCCAATTACTACATTGAAATATATAGAAAAAAATTTTCTTCTCAAGAAGAACTAGGCCAGAAAAGCTGAAACTTATGTGGAAGCATCATGGGGTAGTATAGATTCTAAATTTTTCAAATCATGACCCCTGGGGGTAGGGTGGGGCCATAATAGGTATAAATACAAGGGGAAATCTGGTGAAGAACAGTTGGGCCAATGTAACTCAGGTGAGTGTTGTGGCCCATGTTACAATATCATCTTCTTCTCCAGAACCACTGAACTAGTTTCAACCAAACTTAGCATAGAGTATCCTTGGGTGAAGGGAATTCAAATTTGTTCAAATGAAAGGCCACACTTTCTTCTAAGGGGAGATAATTAAGAATTAGTAAAAAAGATAAGGCATCTATTAAAAATCTTCTTCTGAAGAACCACTGGGCCAGGAAAGATGAAACTTATGTGGAATCATCCTCGGGAAGTGTATATTCAAGGTTGTTCAAATCATAACCCTTGGAGGTAGGATGGGGCCACAATGGGGGATCAAAGCTTTACATATGAACATCTAGGAGAAGAAATCTGTTGATGAAGAACAGCAGGGCCATATTGTCTCAGTTAAGCATTGTGGCCCATGGGCCTCTTGATTACTGCTTGTGATATTAAAAGAATACTGGCACTGTGTTTATGCACATAAACTTTGATTTATATGAAAGGCTATTTCAAAGAACACCACATATACAGATTTTCCTAATAGGATATTTACTACAGCAATGACAGACTTACTTTTTCGTTAAAAAAAGGAATATTATTAAAATATATGATATATATTTACTTCAGGTCAGCTGTCACAATTCCTTGCATATTAATGGCATGAAACCCTTTCCTGGACACAAACACGTGTTCATCATCTGTAGACATTCCAATGATGGGAATCAGAGTCCCATCAATGGCCCCGACAACATTAGGAAAATTGGACAATCTCAGAAAGTCTTCTTTGGTTTTCAGAATCTCAGCTGGTCGAGAAGGGAAGATTATATTATGTAAACTTCCATTCAGGGCATCAACAACATCCATAAACATTCTGCTAAATGAGGGCTGAGAGATGCCATGAATGTCTGCAGCCTCAGACTGGAAATCTCCTTTGGCCATGCAGGACCCTGAGAGTTGACAATACCTAAGAATTTTGTACATAAATATTTCTAAATTGCATTTTCCTGTGGTATTTAAATTAATTATGTTTTCTCTGGATTAATATAAATGTTTAATAAATATGAGTATTTGAATATTTAACTATTCAATTGTATTAAATTGCTACAGAAGGGAATTACTTGATTGATTGATTGATTGTATGTTGTTTAACGTCCCATTCGAGAATTTTTCACTCATATAGAGACGTCACCATATACCGGTGAAGGGCTTCAAATTTTGACCTTTACTCGGCACTCAGGGCCATTGAGCAGTGAGGGATCTTTATCGTGCCAACGCCTGCCGTGACACGGGACCTCGGTTTTTAAGGTCTCATCCGAAGGACCCGCAACTTTCACTTCAAAGTGCCGAGCGCATGGCGAAGGAACAGTTGCTACCCATTTTTTTATCGACTTAGGTCAGTCGCGGCCGAGATTCGAACTCACGACCTCCCGATCACGGGAATTACTTGAACATATGTAGTGACATACACATCTGTTGCAAATTAAGAGGTCATGGCCTGATGTAGGTCACAGTTTGAGGCAACATGCAGACAATATTTCAGTGAGTGGGTGGTGTAACATTTAAATTGAAATGTTTGCCTCAAATATAAAAAGGAGAAATGTCCATGAATAAAAAAAAATTATAAGAAGCTTCACAGGATTTCATGTGACTAGTGAGCATTTAAACATTATTTATTTCTTAAGAATCTCAGAGGGTTTAGAAAATTTGATAATATATAAATCATGTTTTTGTACACTTAATTATCTTCTTTCTAAATTGACACTTGAGTTCAAGGTCAAAACATATTTAAGAGCTGTCTATACACTGCATACTAAAGAGTTCTGATTGTGTGGTATGTCTATGCAGATAGAGTAATCTGCCCCTTAATCTAGAATATAATAAATTGAAATGTACAATTCATCACTTAATGTGTGATTAAATTAAATTTTTCATAAGATTTAATAGGCCAATATGAATAGATTGAACACTGCACTTGCATGTATCTTGTCCACTTATGTAAAAAACAGTGATTTCTGTTCATCAGTACTCCATTGCCTTGAAACATTTTTCCTGGAGGTAAATGCAAGGTACCCTATGTTGAATATATTGATAAGCTCAGTAAATACACCTTTACACACTATTATTTTCTCTATATGCAAAATTAAAAACTCCTATAGTGCATAGAGGGAAAGATATATATACTATATAGTATATGGTTACTCAGGTGAGCATTGTGGTCTATTGACATTTCTTTCCTTCGTTTATGAAAGGGTTATATTCTTGAGAGGAGGGGATGTTTGAAATATTAAAAATCTCCTTTTCCTACATTTTCTGCCAAGTCTGTATTAACGATCTGCTCTAGCAAGTACATGAAGTGTACAGTATTGTAAATGAATACTATTCACTGAATAGATCTAAAATATAAATTATATATTGCAGAAACAATAATTATTGTTTTTAATGATTAGGTCTTTCCAATATACGATGACGAAAAATGCACGTATCGTTTCAATAATGTATGTATATTGTAACTGATAAGACGGAATATGAACGGAAACGAGTCTTGTTCATTAGATCCGCCACTATACACTCATCACGATTAGATCGGGCTCAATATTTACAAAACATCTTACCATAGAAGTCACTGGCAAAGGATTTGATCTGTTTGTGGGTCTCTCCAAGCGGTTTTCAACATTTTGTACAAAATCTAAGATGGTGTGCCGTGGGAATCTATATCTTTGTATCAATTCTAGGTCGCTGTAAATATCTAACGGATTGGTACGATCTCGGAAAACTCGCTGGCGTCTTAAACTACGATCTCTTGCTATGGTCAGTAGAAGTGCTGCCATTTTCTTGCTCGTAAATAAAGATAAGTGTAGGGGCACAGTAGACGTAGATTTAAGTTTAATTATGACGTAATTTAACGTCTACGATTTTTAGTAAATACGGTTTTAGACTTAAATCCACGCGACGTCTGAACTTACGTCTACGTTTACGTCTACGAACTTTCGTAAATATGAACACAGGCCTCCAGTCAGATGCTCTACCAATTGAACTATCTGGCCATCGGTGATCAAATCTGGCCGACCACAACATTCCTTCCTCTTTAAAAGTTATTCAACCCCAAAAGACACAAATCCAGACTCGTCCCTGGGAGACCTATAACTTGTGATTAGCAGGGTATGGCTTGGCACCAAATGTAACAAGAGAGGAGAGAATGCGACGAACCAGACCGGGATTCGAACCTGTCAGGTGCTTTACCATTGGAGCTCTCTGGCCACCGGCGATCGAATCTGTCTTACCCCCATAATATAAATACAACCCTTTGACAGGTGGATTTTTTCTTACCAGAAAAATCATATCTTTTACATATTGATGTATTCTTTACCACAAAGAAATGTGTATTTTTATATTTATCAAATTTGCAGTTATGTAAAAGATTCCCTGAAGCTTTAAAATGTGCTTAAAACATAACATTGCATTGTGAAGTTGATTTTGATTTTAAGTTGTAGGTTATATACAAGTTTCCTAAAATGATATCAAATTAATCCTCATTAATCGCATGCACCATACTGCATTACAAACATGTTTTAAAAAATCTACCTCTAACCACTGGTATAAAACAAAACACATTCCAATTGTTGTTCAATCATACTTTGCACCTTTGTTGTTTAATCATAATTACCGGTACTACATTTGTTGTTCAATTATAGCTACCACCTTTATTGTTTTATCATATTTAATCATCTTTGTTGTTTAATTAAGAAATGAATTTCATTTTTGAAGATTCATGAGGACATAGTTCATGTTCCTCATGAATTGTCAATAATTAAATGCATTTCGTATATTTACATTATTTTTCTGATGATTTGCCACAAATAACGCCATTAAACTGTCAAACAGTTTGCATTATAGTTTTGAGGTCAAGTAAGGTATTATGACGTAACAATGGAGATGTTCATGCCCATTCATGGTAGTTCATGAGAAAATGAACTGTATTCTATTTTGTAAAGAATCATAGAGGAAATTTATAAGAAATGTAAATATTCATTTTTACCGGTAGTTCCTTTAATTTGTTCTTTAATCATATCTAACCAACTTTGATTTTAATAATACTCTAACACTTTTGTTGTTAATAAGTTACCATCTCTGTTGTTAATTCATAGTTACCACCTCTGTTGTTAAATCATAGATTTTTCCTTTGTTGTTTAATTATAGTTACCACATTTTTAGCTCTACTGGTCAGAGACCAGAAGAGCTTATGCGATAGTAAGGTGTCCGTCGTCCGTCCGTCTGTCTGTCTGTCTGTCTGTCTGTCTGTCTGTCCGTCCGTCTGTAAACAATTTTTCAAAATGCTACTCCTCCTACAGTTTTGGTCTGATTTCAATATAACTTGGCACACAAGTAGACTACACTAAGATACATAATTCTGTGTATTGGTTTTTGATTTCAATGATCGGTGTTGCCATGGTTACTAAAAATAGAGATTTCTGGGAAATACCTTCAAAATGCTACTCCTCCTACAGTTTTAGTCTGATTTCAATAAAACTTGGCACATAAGTAGACTACACTAAGATGCATAATTCTGTCTATCGGTTTTTGATTTCAATGATCGGTGTTGCCATGGTTACTAAAAATAGAGATTTCTGGGAAATACCTTCAAAACGCTACTTCTCCTACAGTTTTGGTCTGATTTCAATAAAACTTAGCACACAAGTAAACTACACTAAGATGCATAATTCTGTGTATCGGTTTTTGATTTCAATGATCGGTGTTGCCATGGTTACTAAAAATAGAGATTTCTGGGAAATACATTCAAAACGCTACTCCTCTTAGAGTTTTAGTCTGATTTCATTATAACTTGGCACACAAGTAGACTACACTAAGATACATAATTCTGTTTATCGGTTTTTGATTTCAATGATTGATGTTGCCATGGTTGCTAAAAATATGAATTTTATTAAATTTTTTCAAAATGCTACTCCACCTACTGTGTTCATTGGAATTTTAATAAAACTCAATTCTTTTGTAGATTTTGTAAAGACACATAATACTTTTTATTGGTTTTTGATTTAAATGAGCAGTGTTGCCATGGTTACTAAAACAGCACAATCATTGATACTTTTAAAGTACTACTCTCTCTACAGTTTTTGTTTGATCTGATGAAAGCTTAATATACAAAAAGACTTCAATAAGATATTTTATCCTCTATAACGGTTTTAATTTCCATGAACAGGGTTGCCATGGTTATGAAAAAAATAAGCCTTGATTTTTCCCCCCAAATATTATGTGTCATAGTTTTGATCACATTCAAACTTGGAATACAAATGAATAAAATCTGTTTGAAAAATAAGTTGAAATATAAAATATTACTGTATTTGTGTAAATTATGTATTCAACCGTTAAAAAATGCGTTACTGTGCCCCTTTGACAAATCAAATTTACTCGGGTTCGATGTTCATAAAAATCTTTCCTAACAGTCGCCATATTGTAAAAGAAGGACAGCGTCAACGTGTATGACAGATTTCACTACTCTTCTTTTTGCAGTTTACGGGATTTTAACCGTATTTGATAACACGTTTTCTTTTCTTATATAAAGGTATTTATTGTCTGATGTATTGTATTTTACTTTTTACGCTTTGTTGTATGATATAATTATAAATCTTGAACGGTGTCGGACGCATACAGTCGCCGGAAACGAACATTTGCCAATATCGAATAATGTTTTAGTTAAATATTCTAGAGAAGCACAGTGACGGGTTTAAAAAAATCTTATTAGGTAAATACGATAAAAAGTTGAATATTCTACCCGTGTGATGTGTTTCTGTAATTTTCAACCGTATTTACAATTTGAAACAATGACCTAAATTTGAACACGTGCTTCTTGAAAA